TATATATATATATATATATATATATATATATATATATATATATATATATATATAAAACAAGCGTTAATGTGGAACAGAGTGCTCAACAGTACAGAGCATTTGTACACATTTAAAATTAATAAATAAATAAACAAAAGACATGCAAAAACCCCGACTCCGAGTTTCACGGGCATACCCAGAAGGTATGCCTGATCGTCAGGAGGTTTATTTGAAAATGGTTATATTAGCCGTTTTACATACACAGCGTGACGACACTTATGTTGCACGCCATGTTAGTTACGTCACTTTATGCCGACACATGGTAATTATCTCAGTTCTTTTATTCAGAGTACCTGGTGTTATCATTATCAACAGTTTTTGGTCTAAGCAAAGATTGCATAGGTGCCACTAGTGGGCTAGATTTGGTCTTAAAGTGCAATTTAAGTTCACAAGTGATCTTACACGATCTTAGTCATTACAGCAGTAGTCTTAAAATGGACTGAATCTGCTTTTAAGATCAAAAATGATCTAACATCTACTTATGTGGTCAAGCAGTTTCCTCCCCTCACAGCAGGGGATGCCTCCCCTCACAATAGAGAACACCTCTGCTCACAATAAGAGAATGTGTAAGGGGAGACAACTTAATTGGCTGTCAGACCAGAAATGGCCTTACTCATAGTTTAAGATCATGTAAGACTATTTGTGAATTTAAATTGCACTTTAAGTCCAAATCAAGCCCACTAGTGTGCTGATTTCTCCTTTGCAGCGTTGATTTCTTTATGATGTCCCATCTAATGTCATACTGGGTTTTATTTTCTGTTAATTGTACCACCAGTGTTAGCGCTGGCGGTACACATGGTTTCGGTCTCGTCCGGATCGTTCCGGACGGCTACCGTTACCGCTTCTCCTCCTAGACGGTAAGGGCCCCCGTACCCATCTCTTGGATTTAGGTCACCTATAATCTCAGCTCGTTCCACGTAAAATTTGGGCTTTGCCGGTATTGGGGTCTGGGTGTGGCACTCATTGCAATGCACCCTTGNTTAGTTGAATGGCGGTTTGCCATGATGTACGGGCCAATATATAAATCTGCCAAATTTGTGCGGCACCCTGTTTTCATGCCAACGTATTTCTCCCTTGATTTAGCCTATATTTGAACTCTGTCTGCCTGTGATCGAGTTTTTCTTTTAATTGGGCATCTGTGCGTGTGTGCGTGTGTGCCTGCAGAGCACCTGTCGCTTTATACGAGC